TGCAGCTAGATTATGGTGCCCTAAATGATTGTGGTGCCCAACCTGTTAGTACATGAACATAGAATAGTCAACCACACAAATTTTGGTGCGCTACTACAACCGTCTGAATTACGTCGTCAGTTTTGGTGATAAGAGCTAGGAAAAGCAAGCTGCGTCTATCTAAAAGTTCTGCGAAACTCTATGCAGTCCACGATTCTGCCAAGGCTGTCCAGTACGGCGTCAAGTACAGCAGCTCCCTCACAGGTTCGACGTCTGTAGGTGTCGAGGTTTTGTTGTCCTTGTTCGCTAGCAACTCAAGCGATCGAAGCATTAAAGGGTGCGTAACATCGTCCTGGTTGTGAATATCGCAAGCTTCCTGTGCAAGCTCACGAACTCGATCCGTCAGCGACTGGAGCTCATCCGCGAGCGAACACGACGTCATGACGGCTACACCCGCTGCGAGAAGTCCGAAGAGGGGAGCGAACACGTCCGAGTAGTACGTGATGCCTCCAAGCCACTGACCCGAACGCTGAGCGTCTTGGTTCAGAGTTATGAGCGCACTAACCACAGCCGTCAGCACTTGTTTGCGCAGGAGACGCATCGGCGCACCGTCTTCAGTCGTACGCGCTAACAACGAGTGCACAAGGTTCTGGGCCAGCACGTCGCTCTCAGCGAAGTAGTTGCTGCTTTCGGACTCAAAGATGCGGCGGTACAGGTCGTCCCAGTCTTGAGCCTTGGCGCCAGCAGCGCCTGAATACGCCGCGAGGACACTGGGCGCGTCGATGAGGTCGAACAGCGTCTTGGACAGAGCAGCAGCGCCGTGTTCCGTACGTGCGAAGCAGGCAGCAATGTACTCCACCGCAAGAGGCAGCACCGTTGCATCAGACAACGAAGCAGTTGGAGTGTCCGCTGTCGTAGCAAGAGCCTGATGTACAGCGTGACGTGCTCCAGCTCTCACACGCACATCGTCGTCTTGAAGCAGTCGCAGTGCGCTGATCCATCCAGCCAGCGCTAGATCACCACCACAGTCCTGCTTAGAATGCAACAACAGAAGTCCACTGTGATGGAGTGCAGAGGCGGCAGCTTGGCGAAGAATCAGAGGCTGGTTCTCGTCGGACCGCAGCTCGATCTCCTTGCACAGAGTCTCATACAGCGCATTCTTCTCGGTGTTCTGGCGATAAGCCATGAGAGCTAGCAGCTCCAACGCTGGCGCTAGAACTTGAGTGTCCGCCGAGATACTTAGAGTACGCGTTAGCTTGGTCTGTAGTTGCGAGAGTAGAGTCTGAGAGTCCGGTATCGCTTGATGAAGCTGGCAACGCACCAATACCTTCAGTTGTCGCGCTCGCACCTTCGGGTGTGTCTCGGTCAAGAACTGGCCGATCAAAATCGACTGCAGCTCAGCAACAGACTCCGAAGTCCAGTCTTCGATCACCAACTTGTTCGCGAACTGCTTGACTGACTTTTTGCGGATCTGGAGCACGTTAGACACTAGCATCTTCTTCACAAGAGCATCCAGTTGTCGCCCAGTCCACAAGCTGAACCAGATCGCCACCAACGAACGATCCAGCACGTACATCCCCGGGCGTGTAGACAGAAGCACCGCAGCATGTCGATCTGAGTCACATCTCTGCAGCAACTGCCGATCAACTTCAGTTTGAATTAGTTGAGCCGTTTGCACCAACGTTTCTTTATCTGAGTCCGTCTTCAACATCGCAACCACGTTGGCAGCGTCCTGTGCGTAGAACCGCATCACCACGCTCACAGTCGCGACGATCTCGGATCGGATAGCAGGGTTTACAGCTCCATTCTGCTCTGTCCACAGCCACATGTTAGAAGGCAGCAACTTAGCTACAACGACCTTCAGGAACTCAGCTTGTGCGTCCTTCGAGACAGGCGTGGATTTCTTTCCAGCACCTCCAATAGCCAAGTATTTCGTTGTAAGATGGCGGATCTGAGCGAGAATTCCGTGGACATAGTTGTGTGACATAGGCTTCGCAGTAGACTGGTCCTCGGTACTGCGAACGCCTTGAGGAAGCCGGGCACAGAGCATGGATAACACGTAAGCAGCGTCAGCGTTACTCACGATAGACGCCACGACCTTGGCTGCCATGTGTCGAATGGCCATCGTCGGCTGCGACGCGCACTTCATCACCAGAGGAACGAAGCTCGCCAGTCCAGTGCCGTCGCAGGGAGAAGCAGGAGCATCCGCTACACGCTGATCATCCTCGTCACCAGGTCGTAAGCGGCTTAAGAACAGCAGCAACGGGTACAGTCCAGGCGGAGCAGCTCCACCCAGTGCACTACTCTTCTTGTCGTCTGCTAGTAACCTGGTCAACTCACGAGCCAGGAAGCCACGGAGTTGCTGGAAACGCGAGAAGACGTCGTCACTGGCGACTTGTTGACGAGTTCCTCCGTCCGCAATGCGCTTGTCTCCAATCGCACGCTGTGTAGCCGCTGCGAAGAGCATCATGGACGAGTTCCGCACCGCCCACGACCCACAGTCGAAGCCACGCACTGCCAACTCGAACATGTCCACAACATATCGAGCCACATCCTCCGCCAGCACTCCGTCTTGACAAATGAGCTTGAGGATGTTCAGTGCGTGGACACGGGCACGCCACAGCGAGTGGTGTTCCTGATGGGTATCCCGCTTCTCCGCGGCGTCTGTGTCTTCTCCTGCTAGACGCAACAACGTCGACATGACCTTAGGAAGAATCACAGCAGCAGAATTGCGCGGCTCCGCTCGAAGAATAGCCACGAAACTGAACGCGAAGCCGGAGCTGCGACGCAAGATAAAATGCTGCTCGGATCGTTCCAATCGCTCCAACAGACGATCAGCCCATCGTGCAGGTAAGCCGCCAAGCACTGGGTTTTTCTCTCCGTGCGCCAGGAACGCGCGACAGACTCCTTCGAACGCCTGGTAAGCCGTAGCAACTGCGCCCTTATGCTTGAGCTCAAACAGCGAGTTCAGCAACGTCTCGCCTCCACGCTGCGCCATATCCACAGTAAAGTACGTGATGCTATCCGACGCTGGGTTAGAAGTAGGGAGAGGAACACGACGCATGAGCAACTCGAGGATAGCGCCACATTCACGAGCAGCCAGCCAGCTGCCAACCACAGCACGTTGCTCTGCGTTGCCATCCTCCTCGTCAAGACCATCGCCGTTCTCAATGATTAGATGGCCACGACAGTCCACTCGCAACGCCGAACTCGTGGTTTTAGCCACAGCACTAACCTCGCCCACTACGCCAGCAAACGAAGCCGAGAGTTCTTCGTCTCCAGCACCAGAAGTCGCGTCTCCAACCACAGCAAGCGATGCACGCATGGACAGGTGGATAGCAGTGAATATCTGCGTCATCGCACTCGGCCACTGCGCAGCTTCACTACTAGACAGCGTACTAAAGTCCACGTTGTCAAGTACGTAATGCAGCGACAGTAGAAAGCCGTGTACAAGCGGAGACTCGCCTCGATGGATTTCTGCCGAGCTTAGAGCTCCAATACGCGACAGAATCACTTGTGTCAGCTGCAATACGAACGACACGTCTGGGTTGACACTGCTGACTTCTGTAGCAGTGTTTTCAGGCTCTAATGAGCGCTGGAACGTCAATCCAAAGCGTTGAATTGCTGCGCTGCACTTCTGGAACAGTAGTCGGATGAACATTGCGCCAGCATCGCTTTCACGTTGACGAGGGCTGCCACAGAGTCCGACCGCCCAGTCCACGAGAATGCGGAGTTCTTCGCGACTGGAATAACCTGGAAGCTCATCCGGATACAAGTCGAGGATCGTGAAGGCCAGAGATCGAATGGAATCCCATGCGCTAATGAGCATATTGAGCAGCGTCGTCACCATCTGTCCCGTAAGTAAGAGACTTGGACACTGATCCGTCTCGAGACCAAATAGCTGCACGTACAACAGAAGCACCTCCAGACCCAACGTCAAGCGCTGAGGAAGAGCTCCAGGATACACTGAAGCCACAATAAAGAGCTCCACCCAGTGCTTGAACGACACTGCAGCGGCATATTCATCACGAGCCTGTCCAGACTTGGAGGCATTCTTACTGGCGAGACGCATAGTCTCCTTGATACGAATAAGGACCGTCTTGAGTCCAATCAGCGTGTTCATGCGGCCCGCGGGGCCGATTTCCTTCCCGTTTACAGCTAAATAGTACTTGACCAAACGTAATTCATCGTCCGAAGGCATACTAGTCGACTTAAGCGACGCACACAACGCATCAAACGCAGTTCCGCGAGTTTCTGTCTTAGCGTGACGAAGACCACGTTCAATCTCGTGCATCGACACACCAACGAGTTTCTCTGGAGCCATTTTCTTTCGTGCAAACTTGAGCACTTCCAGCTCCGCCCACAACGCAACGTCAGCAGATTCTCCGTCCTTCCTACCTTCCACTTGCAGACGCTTGATCAAAACTGGTACACAGTCAGAGTCTTTCTTCAGTAGAAGAGGAATCACGTACATGGCTACACGTGAGCGAAGATTAGCGTCACGTGATAGAAGCACCTTAACCACATCCGGAAGCCACAACTCACGCCAAGCCGCCACAGCCTCATTATCCGGTTTTGAGTCATTCTTTTTGCTTGTGCTTTTTCCACTGAGATCATCGAGAATCTGTGCAAATAAATTCGCTGCGGCTGGCGCAGCGTAGTCTTTTTGGCCCACAGCCGAGAGCAGAGACGACAGTAAGGCTGGACTCGCTTGAAGCACTGGCTTGGCTCCAGCTTCAGCGACCAAAAGCGTCAGCGATCCGTACTTAGCTCGACTAGTAGGTGGAAGTTCCACCAGTCGTGACAAGATCGCGTCACTCCAATCCTGGAATCCACCGGAAAGCACGAAATAGTTGACGATATGAGCGAAAACGACAGCCATGAACTGGTTCACCTTCTTGGACGGATGTTCCCAGTTCAACAACACAGCAGTCGTGAGGTTCGTTAAAGTCTCAACAGCCAATACAGCAGGGTATTCACTCGAGTTCAGCTCCTTCTTCTGCTTCTGTAAGATCGTCACAGCACGACGGAGGAACGCTTCCAGTACTTGGAAGGCGAACAACCGCGTGTTGTACGATTCTTGGTCGCAGAATTGGTGAACACCAGTAAAAATCGCGTCCAAAACGCTCTGATCCGCCATCAGATTTTCGATTAATCCAAGATTCTTAGCTGGAAGAGCGAGATCATCAGTGTTCAGACTGTTCAGTAAGCCACGACACACTGCGAGTCTCGATAGGTCTCCAAAGTTCTCCACGTCCTTGTCGATATGTGCTCGTAGTTCCACGTTATTGCATGTATCAGAGCTGATAATACTCAGCTCCGGATACGCAGTCTGTAGCAGCAGCTTGGTCGCGTTAGTCGAAGTACTCGACAATTGGAGGAGCAAGCGAAGCACTAAACAGTAGGCGAGTCCTGCTTGGGTGAGTAGATCTTTGTGTACCACACTAGTCTGTAGCAGCAGTACGCAGTGCTTCACAATACGAAGGAAAGCCTCCGTCAATTTGTCCAAACTCGTTCCTCGACACTGCTGCAACCGACTGTCCAGTATCTCCTTCATCGTTGCCAGCACGATCACGCTCTTTAGAGCGTGGCCACAACGTTCTGAAGCCACCAGAACCACATTCGTTGAGGCTGTAGCTTCGCTCTCTTCCTGTAAGTCGTCATTATCCTGATTTGCCCCATGATACTCCACAATTGGAGCTCCCAGAGCTTCTAATTGGTCTGCACAGCACGTCACGAACTGCAGTAGATGCTCAGCATCTCCATTATCCCCTCCGGTCACTGGATTTTCCACTAGAACGCGAGCAAGGAACGGGAACTCCACTAGGTGCAGCAAACGGTCCAGCAGAGTGACACGCTGTTCAGGGGTCTGATTCTGAGAAGCTGATTCGGTCCAGAGGGCATCCAGGAACGCCCTTAGCTCTTGACCCGCTCCGACCCGCAGCTCGCTGGACTCAGATCCTTCACTCTGCGCCAGGACGTCCAGGATGAGCCCCAAGTTCTTGCGCAACGGCTGCGTCGGCAGCGCCGCGCTGAGTCGGAACACCAGGCGCCATATTGAAGTTCTTACGTTGCTGTAATCTGATTCATCGCCCGATACCAGCAACTTACACTTGGAACGAAATAGCTGCAACTTCTTGAGTTGCTCGTAAAGACTGCAGTGCGCAGCACACAGCGCCTCATACCACGCCGCCAGGTCTCCTCCGCCCAGCGCAGCGGGTAGCTCCACGTTCACAGGCACCCCTTTTAGCACCAGACGCAGATCTACTCCATTGGGGGCCACAATACCGCCCGCCTGCGCCTCCTTAATTACTCCTTTTCTCTTCTTGCGCACCATCGCTGAAAATGGCTGGTCAATAAGAGTTGAAGATGGCTACATCAGCGGGACCAATCGCATACATTCATTTTGTCTGTGTACTGTACACCACTTCTTTATTCTCAGAAACGCAGCATACCAGTTAGAGACCATGGCGACGTCCGCGACGAACGAGGCTGCCAACACACTGCGCAAGCTCAGGCAGCGTCCACAGACCAAGGTCACGTCGGCACGTAGAGACTCTACACAGCTATGCGCCATGCGTGACACCAACAAGCGGCCGCGTGCGTCGTCTTCGGGCGACAAGGAGGCGCAGCACAAGAAGAAGACGGAGACGGCGCCAGCGTCCGGGCCAGCCGCCGTTTCGCTAGGACAAACACCCCACGGTACGTCGACGACCACAAACGACTTGCTGGCAGAAACAGGCTGCGATATTGTCTAACATATCTGTTTCTTGCGGATTTATGTTCGTTTTGCTTAAATTTAGGCCAATGGCACGGAGAAGAGAAGGCACAATTCCCCGCTAGAACAGTCGAATTGGAGGTTGAGGACGAAGGAGGCGGCGCAGATATAACAGCGGAGATTGCAGCCATTGGACACAGAAACGAGCGACTGCAGCTCAGCGTAGCGTCACTTAAGCACAGGTTTTCTATGCGTGAAGAGGAGACACATCAGCTGCTGCTGGGACTGGGTGCGCTCAATGCAGTGGCCAATGAACTCGCGACATTACAAAAGGAATATCAGGAGCGCTCGTCGAAAAATGCAGCGCTGATTCAGGAGTCTCTGGAACAGATTTCCAACTGCTCGGCCCAGGTGGACACGCTGAAGCGCTGTCGGGGATTCACGGCCTCGCAGCTGCAGAATTTCAGACACGAGTGCACCCAGGAGATGAATAAATTAGTGACCAGACTTGGAGATCTCGCGAGCGGCACAGATCAAGAACCAGAGCCTTTTGACCTGGCGATGAACGAGAAGCGGCAACAAATCGACGAGTTAAAGGAGGAAGTATGTGGCTACAGAGCACAAGTTAGTCACGATGGCTCGGTCGCATCAGTCTCATCATCCACGTTAGGATCCGCCCAAGTGGAGACGACGGCGCGGATAAATCTGGCACTGGCGCAGTTGGACGATCTTCACGCCGAGATGTTCCAGTTGAAGCAGGCGTTGATGCAGGAGAACCAGTCGTTTCGACGTCAACTTGAGAATCTCGTGTCGAGGCAAATGGCTCAAATCCGTGACGTTCAGGACAACGAAACGGAGCGAATCAACGAGGAAATGGACGAGATCAGGTCGGGAATGTGCGGGATCCTCAAGGACGTGCATCGACTGAAGGAACGCACGAAGTATTTGGTGCCCAGTATGGCACGTGTAGGCCCTAGAATGTCTCGAAGTAAGGCGATTGGTATGACTAGAGGTGATGAGAAGGATGAGCGATGGATGAATATCCCTTCTTCACACCCTCACAGCACTGGCTACTCGATGACTATGGCTACACGTCAGTGTCAAGATGGGTTGCCTCATTACGAACACGGTTTTGATGATGATTGCTACTGTCCTGGGGTGGTGCCGGGCCACATGACACGCCCAGGCCGTCCTCGCAGTCCTGGATCCAGCAACTCAAGCGTTGGCCGCTCAGACGACGACAATTGGCGGATGTCTCCTGCTGAAGACGCGCCAGCAACTGACCAACGTCTTGCTCAGCCTTGCGAAAGCCCACACTACTCGTCTTGCTCCTCGAGCCTGTATGGCCGCCTCAGCGTCTACGGAGGTACGCGATCACCTTGTCTAGTGCAACCGGACGTCCCGAGTGTCCAGATGAGCTGGAAGGAGGACGCCCGCGAAGTGACGGTGTATTAACATTGTACATTGTGGCTCGTCATCGTAGAAGAGCATGAGGGACAGAACGATTCCAGCGCGGAGCAATTCGAGCGGCGACTTCTGGAACAACACCGACTGTTCTGGATTGGCGAAGGCGCGGGCTAGCAGAAGAATAGCTACTGGCTGGGTTGCTTAGGTTAATGGATCCATCTGAGAAGTAAAGCAAGGAATATCAGCGCATTGCAGTGCTTACAAAGTGAGGGGACAACAGTAATAGGAGAATCTCGGAATATAGTTGTCAGACGGTCGCAGTAGCGCACCAAAATTTGTGTGGTTGACTATTCTATGTTCATGTACTAACAGGTTGGGCACCACAATCATTTAGGGCACCATAATCTAGCTGCAGGGCTAATCAATTGTCTCCTCAACTGTCATTTCCGATCTTGCCATCTCAAGTGCATCACAGTCTTCGAATACTTCTTCTACCAATGTCGCTCAAGGGAAAAATCGCTGTCATTACTGGCGCGTCGATGGGCATCGGTGCTGCGACTGCCCGTCGCTTTGCTCAAGAAGGAGCGAGTATGGCGTTGCTCGCTCGGTCCAAGGACAAGTTGATCCAACTGGCTGAGGAGCTACAGAGCGTATCAGGTTGTGGCCACGTGGTGTACTTCTCAGTCGACGTGCGTGACAGCAACGCACTAGCGACGGCCATGACCGAGACGGTCGAACAACTGGGCGGACCTGTGGACGTTCTGATCAACAACGCCGGTCTCGCTCTCGGAGCCCCGGCGTGCTTCCAAGACCAGTCGATCGCCGACATTTCCATGATGGTGGGGACGAACATAAGCGGCGTATTGTTCGCTGCCCATGCAGTGCTCAACCAAGGCGGTATGATGGCCCAGAAGCAAGGCGTGATCGTGAACGTGACGTCCGTGACTGGACTGGAGGCCCCGCCCTTCCCTGGTGAAGCTGTATACCACATGGCTAAGGCGGCGCAGGAGGGCTTCTCGAACTCGCTTCGCAACGAGCTCTGCGGTACCAACATCAAGGTTGTGGTGGTGCGTCCTGGTGTCGTGGCGACGAATTTCCACGAGCAGCGTGTCGGCTTCGACAAGAACATGTACTCGCAGTTCATTGAGGGCTACGAGCCGCTGGTGTCCGAGGACATCGCCGACGCCATCTCGTGGGTGCTGGAGAAGCCGGAGCGCGTGATGATAAAGGCAGTTGACGTCGTGCCGACAGCGCAGCGCAGTCTCAGCGTGTTCGACCGTGAGTGGAGCACTCGGAATGCTAAGTAAAGTGATAATTCAACGCACAATAGTAGACGTTGGGAATAATGAAGTCTCAGCCAGCTACCAATGTGAACGAGAGAATACCAATTGCTTTAGTGATGTTTTTTTTTCTGTTGAACGACTACTAGTTCTTTACACTAGTTGAGCTTTCTCAGCCGATTCTTCGTGAGAATGGTGCGTCGGTGGATGCGTGGAGCTCAACTCCAGGATTAAAAACCCCGTCATAACCAAGACTGAGCCGATGATACACTCCCACGTGAACTTCGTGCTGTGCATCAAAGTGTCCATGAGTCCCGACAGCGGGATCGTCAACATGAATCCGACACTCGTCTCCAACGGCGACGTCCAGCAGACTGCAAACGTTAGGAAGATGAAGTTGGTCACGAACATCGTGGTACCGATCATCAGCATGAGGTTTCCTTCGGCTATAGGTGGGAATCCGATCGGCTCGTAGAGCGACGGAAACGGACTGTGCGCGAAGAAAATGGTACCGGCAAGCCAGGCCGGGATCGTGAACGCTCCACTCATGCCCATCATGATCATGAGTGTGGAGGTGTCGTTGATTTCTGCACCCGCAGTGAGAGCCACCGACACGTTGTAGCCTGCGTTGAGCACTGCTGAAATGACCATCATGAGTCCTCCGATCACGCTGGGACTTCCAATGCCTGCGTGGTCACCTCCTTGATACAGCACAACCATCGTCACACCAGTGAACGCCAGCAAGACACCAAACACCTTTATCGCGACCAGCTTCTCGTTCAACAAGCAGATCGAGAAGCAGTACACGAACAGCGGCGAACTGTTGAAGATGGCAGCTCCTGCAGCGACCGTCAAGTTCTGGAACGATGCAAACCAAAAGTAGTCGGCGACGAGGTAGAACACGCCGAGGAATGCTGACAAACGCATCAATTTCTTCAGCGGAATGACCGAGTGACGCTGCAAAACCCCAACAATGTCGAACCCAGCATGGCGATCTTCCGTCGTGCCGCAGATGCGGTAGTACGCGAAGATAAACGGAAGCAACAGGACCTGTACACGCAATAATCTGGTGAGAAGATATCTGAATAGAGCTGATCATCTAGGTTATGATAATCCTTACGGGTGCAGCATGACTGAAGCACATAACGAAGAAGGGTTTCTTGAAGTCGTCTGCCGTCTAAAGGGTAACGAAGCGTTAGATAAACTACTGGTAACTGAGTAAGATTGGAGGATACCTGTAGGTGCTGCACTGCTTCAGCTTGAAAGATGGTAGTACAGATCACCACTACACAAGATACAGTTAGGCTGTGTACTTTTCAAAGCTGAAAGAATTTTGTGCTTACCGAATAGAGCGAGCAGTCCAACGTGTTTTGTGTGAAAGTACTCCTTTGTCTCCTTCTCCAGCTCGAGATCCTCGTCATCAAGCAGCTTGGTGTGCTCGTTAGGTACGGGCTTGGTCACAGGCACAACTCCGTTCCTGTGAGACATCCTTACTGGGCTATGCGCGTCTGTGAGTGCTTCTTCCCGGTGAGAAGCCGTGCTTTTGCGCGACTCCATTGCGTGGCGCAATGTGTCGTCCAGAGCAAAATCTTGAATGATTCTTTTGATTTGCAAATCCCTCCCCTCGCCCACAACTCGCTCAACCACGCACTTTTCGGCTGCACGCGGTAGATTTAAGTTTCATAGTGCGAGATCGCTCGTCGACTCGGTTGTCAGCGTCGCTCAAAGGTGAGACCTTCGGTGATTGCTGACGCTCGTCATCCTGTAGGCAAAAAACAAAATGACTTCAACGTCGTCACACGTCACACATTTATGTGCACCACATCACATGAATATGTCTGTTTCCTTGGCTCCAGTATCCAATCTTCCCTGTAGCCATGGCGACGGTGCGTGCGCCGCACCCACGCGGCTCTGAGCCCAACAACAAGCGCAAGCGTCAGCGTCCGAACAAACCCAAGTCCATGGCTACATCCTCCACCGAGTCTTCCGTGGAGGCGAAGCTGGAGACGCTCGAAAAATGGCACCGCGCCTTGACCATCGACATGTCGGAGATCCGACGCGAGGGCGCGCGCGTGCGTATCGAGCTGGAGAAAGTGGACGACACGGCGGAAGCCGCAGTGGAGAAGGCCGAGCGGTGCGTTGCACAGGCGCAGGCAGCCGTAGCGTCCTTTAAAGCGAAGGACGAGGCCGCTCCGAGCACCCAGGCCAAGCTGCAGGCCACCAATGCGGAGCTAGACAGACTCCACAAGCGATTTATCAGTATGGAGAAGAAAATGGAGCGATACAGACAGAGTAGCATCAACGAGGAGTTCCTCATGACGCAGCTTACCGAGCTTCAGGAGCAGTACGAGAACGAACTCACTAAAGTACGAGAAGACCATGACGCTGCACTGGAAGCTCAACAGAAACAATTAGACCGAGTGATGGCTCGTTTACAAGACGAGAAGAAACAGAAGAAACAGATGGAGAACATGGTCAGGATGATGCAGTGCTTGAGCGAGGAGAACAGTAAACTGAACAAGAAGATCTCGCAGATGGCTACACGTCAAGAGATGCTCACTATGCAGCAGCAAATGGAGACCACAGAGAGGGACAATCAAGAGGAGCAGGGACGTACCAGACTGGATCTCAATACATTTGAAGACAAGCTAGTGGACATGGAGAGAAGAGTCACAAACGCGGAGAATAACGTGCTCGATATCGACCGGAAAGTGGACGACGTGGGCTCACAAGCGTCCGCTGCAGTGCAGAGTCACCCGATGCCTCCTCCACTTCCTCCACCACCTCTTCCACGTGATCTGGTGCGTCAAGGAGACCTCAGTGGGATCCACGACGCGTTACGACTTATTAACCGTGACTTGCAAACTGTTGGAGTCGATTTCACCGGCTTGGCTAAGCGCGCTGAAGCTCATACAAGCCAGCAGAAGCAGCATTTTGAATCGAGACTACAGGAGCTGAGTACACAGCTGTTTGACGCTCTCAGTCACGACTCTCGACTGCATGCGACCGAGATCAGTCGACTGAAAGACGCTCTTTTTGACGTGCAAAGCGACCACCGAGAGTTCGGACAGAAAATGAGACGACTGGAAGACGACGTGCAAGCAATTCGAGCGCAACCGCGAGATCGTGGAGCTCCCAATTGGCGCTATGGACAGAACCCTCCGCCATTGCTGCCTACACCTCCACTACCGCACCCTCCACCGCCAGCCTTTCGCAACCGTCGAGAGAGACCTTCACGATATGAACCGGCTCCTGATGCAGCTCCAGCTATTGATCCTCCACCTCAAGATCGCATCAGATGGGCCCCTCGAAGGAGAAGTCGTAGTCGCAGTCGGAGTCCTCCACGTCGACCGCCATGGGCTGCAACTGGCAATGATTCGACCCCCGCAAATGGTCGACGCAACCAACGCTACAATCCTGAAGGTAACAATGATCTTCCTGCGAGAAACAACGTTACGGAGCTAACAGGTGCGCCAGTGCCCGCCAACCCAGAGCAGAACAGGAACGAGGCTGCTGAAACCAACCGGGAGGAGCAACCGGGTCTACCTTTCCGCCGTATCCGCCAGCCCCGCAGGACTCCAGAGATTATCGTTATCGAAGAGGACGATGAGGAAGACGAAGAAGAGGAAGTCGAGGAAGGACAGGAAGTGGCCAGAGCCCCTCCGGATGTAGTTTTGGACGAGGAAGAAGCGTCTCAGAACGCCGATGTCGTGATGGTGGACCCACCTACCGAGCACGTAGAAACAACTGATCTCTTGGAGAAAGAAGCGGACCTACAAACGGGCCTTTTGCTGTACTTTTGCTTGGGCGGCGCCCCCGATCTTGATACCCAGTGGACGAATTGTTTTACCCAGTTGAATGCCGACGAGTGCGTGGAGATGCCTCGAGCACTGCGATTCCAGCGTCGATACAGTTTCTTACAGAGCTTCCCAGTGTATTTGACGCAGTGTGTCCTCCAAGCGGTGATCCTAAACGGTCAAAACGTGGCTGACGGCAGCGATAATAGCGCTTCTCGATCCGCTGGAGCGCTTAACGACGCTATTATGCGAGCAAAGTTCAACGATGTGGTCAAAGATATCCATCTCTCGTGGGCCAAGGCTCTAAATGAGCTATTAACAAAAAAAGCTGCCGGTATAGCCGAGTTAACCTCGGAAAAGCTGGATTTAACCGTGAACCCAGCAGGACTATCCAGCTCTGCTGACAAAGTTGAAGTCATTTACGACTGGAGTCGACGCCAAGAGTCCGTCATGTGGATTCTGGCTCGAAAGCTGCACTACGGATCGTTCTTACCAGCAATGAAGTGCAACGTGGACGCATCTCCGGCTGTTTATCTGTTTACCGTCATGTTTGACGTGCGTATAGTGACGAGCGAATGTCCTCAGTACGGCACCTTTCGACTGAATGCTTTTGGTGGTAAAGTTATTGCGTATCTATGGAATCACACGCTCAAGAAGCTCCCGTATGTGTTCTTTGCTGACTGGCCGTGGCTCGAAGACCAGTCCACAAAGGAGAAGCTCCCAGCCTTGGCTTTTTGCCATGTACTGGCCAGTATTTTACTCTGGAATAGTGCGATTGACCACCACAGTTTAACGAACCAAAACATCTACGCTGCTGCAGTCAAGCACATTCTACCCAAACTCTACGTTGGCGGTCAAGCGATTTATGAATCCGTGGAGTCCACATCTCTATTACTGGCTGAGTGTGAGTCTACATATATTGAACTAATCGATCTAGACGGCCAATTCGCGTCAATTCTCGGCCTGGATGGTTTCTTTGAAGTCACGGAAGCTATTCAGAACAACATGTTAGCTGTGGCTACAGCTACGACAGCTACGTCTACTTAAGTCGTTGTGCATTATTATGAAGTATCTGCCTAAATTTTACTTATTTTTTTTTAATTTTTTTATTTGTAGTTTGTTATTAAGCCCAAGCTGATGCAGTTGGTGGTTCTTGTTGTGCAGTTTTCTTCTTTGTGCTACATTCGAGGATAGCGAAGCCTGCCATGACGAGCACTGAGCCGACGATGCATTCCCACGAGAACTTTGTGTGATGGATACATGTGTCCATAATTCCTGATAACGGGATTGTTAGCATGCATCCGACGCTGGTTTCCAAAGGTGAAGTCCAGCAGATTGCTAAGGGGAGAAATGCACAGAAAACAACCGTCAAGGCTCCACTGGAGATTAAGAGGAACACGCCTTCAGCTGTACCAGGGAACGCGAGGGACTCATATAGCCATGAGAACGGACTTTCAGCTAGGAGAAATGTACCCAAGATCCACGGTGGAAAGGTAAAGAGACCACATAGTCCTGCTAGCGTGAGCAGCGTTGAAGTATCGGTAACATCTTCGCCAATTGCTAGCTGCAGCGCGACTTGATAACCAGCATAGATGGCTGACGAGATGATCATCGAGATCCCCGCGATGATCGTTGTGGCTTCAATTGTACCGAATCCGCTGCCGTCTTGGAAGATGACGATAAGTATGACGCCCACGAACGCTGTGAGTACCCCCAATATCTTGTTGACGTTCAAATGTTCGTTCAAGAAGCAAACGGACAAGCAGTACACGAAGAGCGGAGACGAGTTGGAGATGGCTACACCCGCCGCCACACTCACGTCACCCAGAGCGGCATACCAAAAGAAGTCCGAAATAAGGTAAATCATACTCAGAACCCCTGAAATGTACACGAGTCTGGGTAGAGGGATCACGGAGTGGTGTTGCAATATACCGACAAAGTCAGCGTATCGATCAGCAGAATTCCCGTAAAGCTTGTAGTACCCAACGATCATTGGAAGTAGCACCACCTATTCATACAAGATTTTTTTTTAATCAGTCGAATGATACCATAAAGATAATACTTCGAGGAGGTAAAACTTACCGGTGCTGCATGGTTGAAACACGCTAAGAAGAAGGGTTTGTTGAAGAAAAGCTGCAATGCTAGTTAGTGTCTAGTCTTTATTATTTTAGAACCAGGGATTTTACGTTACCTGGAGCGACTGTGAAGCTTCAGCTTGCAAGACCCAGGACCAGATCAGTGCTGCCAAGTATGAGACCATATCGATGAGTTGTGTAGCGTGCAATGTTTACCAGCAGTTTAGTGCATACCGGAGAGCGCAACGAAGCTCGCGAACTTGGCAGGTCGAGATTGGTTGGCTTCTTTCTTCAAATCGACTTCGGGGTCGAGTAACTTCGTCGTCTCCGTCGCAGTCGGCCAGGCAGGAGCCACTACATTCGTTCGAGTCATCTTAGCCCCAAGCGGCGAATCCTAGAATGAAAACGTGATGTCCAGAGAAATTTCGCGCGCCAACTAGCGCATCCCTTCGCCAGTAACGACTCGGATGGATGGTGTCTAGCACGTGACACGTCGAACGCGTCGGTGGCTACGGCGTTCAATGGGCTACAAGCTTCTGTGGGCTACAAGCTTCTGGCATGGCACACGTCTAGCAACTTCAACATGATAAATCTAAGGATTGCAAATTAGGATTTATTACTTAGACGACGTGAGATTGTGGCGCGCTTGGAGCTCGATTAGGAGGTGTATCCGGCTCGGATACATGCGGTCGAGCGGTGGTAGGGACAACATCGGAGATCTGGTAGTCATGCTGGCGCTGTTGATACTGCGGCTGTACCAATGATGTGTCCACGTAGCTCTGCGGCTGGCTTGGGCTTGTGTTCTGGCGCGTAGGCTGCTGGTTCTGCAGGTCTTCCCACTGCACCTGGTTGGACGTTGGATAGCGTTGCTGGTTAAATGGCTGCTGGTACTGAGTCTGCACGGCTGGTGTGTTCATGTTAGCGTACTGCACTCTCGCAGGCGTCATGCCGCCATTATGACGAGGCAACATGTCGTCTTCGTCGCGGTATCGGCGGTCCAACGTGTGGTACTCGACGTCCTTGCCGGTAAACCGGAACTGGAGCACCATGGACAAACCAAAGACCACGAGTGTTCCGACTAGATAGCCCCACCAAGCTCCGGGGATGGAGTAGACTAGATCACCGCTCGAGTTGTACGTCCTGAACCGCTCCAGATCGTTGAACGTCGGATAATTGCCGGCAAAGTATCCGATACCCCAGAACAGGAGGAACGCCCCCACTAAACTCGTACCAGCTATAAGTGCTGGCTTCTGTAGCCACAACGTTAAACCACCGCCAATGATGGCAAACACCGCGACCAGTACAATGAGGACCGTGGCCGGATGAGACGGTGCGAACTTGTAGCCGAACGATGTGTTCACTAGGATGGCGAGCGATGCACCAGCGACCGCTCCGCCCATGAAGACGCCTGCCCAATAGATGTAGACGCAGATGTAGCCGACGATGATACCACCGACTACGAAGGCGATCCATGAGGCTGTGAGCACCCACGTCTCGTCCTTGACGACCTTTTCGAAGATGACGGCGATGACAACACCGCCACCCAAGAAACCTAATGCATAGACCGTTGTTTGCCACAGGCGATACCCAGCTACGACCAGTAAAGCGCCGACTAGCAATGCTCCGATGGCCAGAATAACGCCGTTAATGTCCATTCCATCGCTGGAGTCGAAGATGGTCTTGACCGTCGCGGTAGTGTCGTCGTCCGATATGGCCGACACGAGCTGCAGACACAGCAGAACTGGCAATAATGAATGCAGCGTGGTCGCCATGAGTTTGTAGTGAATGGTTTGGAGATTGAAGAGTGAGGGATAACGAACTACACATGTCTCGATCGGTTAGACACCTGTCCAACGTACCGCTGCGGTATTGATAAGAGAAAAAATCCAGGGATCTGCTAATAATTCTTACACTTATCCATGACGAAACACTGGTGGACATCCTCTGACATAGAATAATCAATCGAAGGAGATAATCTGCAGCCTGTTTGATCAAGTAGATTATGTTCATATATGCATGAATATTCTGCACTACGTTTATATACCCCCACGAATACGTATCCGCTACTGCCGAGAGAACGCACTGGACAGCTCCATACATTCAAAACACCGCCATGAGCGTCTCTCATTGCTTATTTGTCGCTTTAAACGGCTGCGTTGCCGGTTGATTTGGAGATTGCGTGGGTGTCTGTCTTGCCGCTGTGGTCGTATCCGCGCGCCGTCTTCTTGATCTGTACGTTCATGCCCAGGATAAATAGCACAATCATTCCAGCCAGATAACCCCACCAAGCGTCCGGGATGTTGTACACCCAGTCGCCCTTGTCGTTCTGTGCTCGGAACTGCTTGAGATCGGCGCCATTCGGGTAGTCCCCGGCGAAATATCCGACGCCCCAGACGCAAATCGTAGCGCCGACGATGGCTGTGGTGCCGATGAGCACAGGTTTCTCCAGTTTGAGCGCCAGGATGCCGCCCATGATGCCCAGAACCACAGCCAAGACGACCAAAATCACGTCCGGGTTGTCCGGGTAGATCTTGGTACCTACGGACGTGTTGATAGTAAAGGCGAGCATGACGCCGCCTGCCGCACCGGCCAGGAAGATGCTGGCGCTGTACAGCATGAGCACGACGACGCCGGCGATGACGCCACCGACAGCGAAGCCGATCCACGAGGCTGTGGGCATCCAACTCATGCTAGCGAAGGCCGTCTCGACGATGCCCGCGACGAAGAGGCCACCGATCATGAAGGCGCAGCAGAAGACCGTAGGACGGAACAGTCGGTAGCCTGCTAGACACACGACGCCGCCTCCAACGATGGCGATGGCTGCCAGCACGGCTGGCCCCACTTTGACGTCTTTAGCCGAACTCAGCAGCTCCGTCACGCCCTCGAGGGAGCTGGAACTGTCGTCTGATACGTCGAAGCTGCCACTGCTACTCCCGCTGCCAACGACGGCCATAGCGCAGAGCTGTAACAGCGCGACCGCCAACAGATTCTTGGCCACGTACGCCACGGACATTTTAAACACAAACTTTAGCAGTCGAAAGTGAAAATGCAGTGGATGGTGCAAGAGGTACGCCATATCTGAAACGACCTGATTTGGATCGTCGTACTTAAGTCGAGATGGGTGCGAAATGAAGGAGTTTCGGCCAATGACAGTGAAGGTTTCATTTTTTTCGACGGCAGAGTTACGCTTGTGTAAATTTTGAAGTGAATCAGTTAACATGAACTCGTTGATGGTACAGCCTTTAAGATTGCATAGCTTTTCGCGACTGTATCCGTATTGCAGCTGCAAGATGCAGAGCTGCGCAGTGAAGGTGATGTGGTAAAAAGCACCGACATGCCTGTCTGCAGCTCCGGGGTCGGAGCTGCGGGCTCTCTTTTGGAGCTCAAATTTCGCATCAAAACAGGGTTCTTCGTCGACGATGATGACCCATTGGAATTCGTATTGATCATAGGACAGCAACTTTGCTTGCACATGAACAGCATGGCACGCTACGGTTTTTTTTTTTTTTTTTTTAAAGTAAAGTGCAGTGCAGTTAAACAGCTTCATGGGCGGAAGAAAACCTGCTTCATTGAAGAGAGCAGATAGTTCCCAAAAGTTCAGCTCACCGAAGCTTTCCGATCACCCATTGATCCTACAATGTTCATAGCGATCATTGCTACGCGATGCACTCAACCCTTGTGTTTGATAATGATGTGGCCCCAAAAGCTCATCCAAAAGCGTCGTTCGGAACAGTGCTTAGTACTCTTGAGTACAAGAGTCCCCTTTTGCGGTAGCTCTCAGACGACCTCAATCAGTCCAAGCCTCCACTGTCGTTCGATGTTGATAATCTGTGCTATCGTCGTTCGCTTGGTGCAAAGCGAAGGAAAAAAAAATCGCAGCCAGCTTGAATATTAATACGTCCCTTTTCACCTTCATGCGCGGACGTGTGGTTCAATAAGAACGCCCACCTGAACACTGACACGCCAGCTAAATACGCTTCCAATGCACTGAACGCGTTTAGCTACATGGAAAACGGCGCCTGTAGTTGTCAAACCTTCCTGCGATTCTGCCACTGCATGGCTTCATCCTATTCCACACATCCCAAAACGGATCCGAGCACGATTGGCTGAAATAAGATCAGATCCATATTTCAACCAATCGCGCACGAGTTGGGACGTGGAGGTGCAACGACAGCGCAGCAGTGCTAAAGTATGCGGCAGGCTCAAGCCAGTACGATCGCCGGCGTCGACAGAAGGGGGCAGGGGCAGGTGGCGGGCGATTCGTTTAGTGACGTCGACCTTTGCGTCTGAGTATGGTGTCGCCGTTTGGAACCCGTCGCCCCAAAAGGAGCGAGAAAGAGAGCGGCGAGAGGGAAAGAGAGTGAGCACAAGCGGTCGGCCGTTCTCGGCTGGGGTTTCTGCCATTCTCGATCGCTTCTGGCCGCCCCCACAGACACACAGACGCCCCAACTCCCCGGAGCACTCCCACATACACATACAGACACAGGCCCACGATGAAGAAGTCAACGAAGAGCGTGCGATGGTCCACCGTGACAGTGTATGAGTTCGGCGTAGCACTGGGAGGCAGCGCCGTCCCGCGCCGCGGCGGCCCGTCCATCGGCTTGGCCCGCACACCGCAGCAGGTGTGGAGCACGACGCTGGATAAGGTGCGGCGCTGCGGGGACCTGGCGCTCACGCGGCCGGGCTCCGCTGCAGACGCCGATGACACCGAGCAGAAGGAGAACGCAGACACTTTGGACCGGAATGAGCAGCGCAAGCGCCGGGTGCTGCGCGCACGGAGAGTGCGTTGGCTAAAGCCGCTAGAGCGCATCACGATGCTGACCAAGGCTGGCTGCAGCGAAGAGCGCATCTACCGAATGATGATGGAGAGCTCCGACATCGCCATGTCCAGGAGGCTCTGCGTCTCGATGCAGCGGCAAGTGGCAGCATGAAGGCGTGGAATCTCTCACGTCTGGCGAGCAGGGACGAAAGTGGATGATATCGCGCTGGTTGGCGCCGCTATGCACCAAAGAAGACCAGAAGGGAGTAGAGTATGGATGACAATGAAGAACTATTTACTGTGTACTAAGGTGGTTTAGCTGTTGTTCCTACGATACTGTTGGGCATCAGTTTGTCTTGGTATCATCACGGCTAAACGTGGTGGTGACTAGCTCACAGCCCCGTAATGTGGCATTGCAAGGCCCCTTTCTTCAACAGAGACCTGAAGCAGGATTTCGTCGCCCGTATACGTGCCACAAGACTTGTGTAAGGTTGAATTACTGCATTATTATAAGTTAAGGTGTTCATACTGTCTGCTACAGAGCTCTATCGTCTCGGTCTTCGTCATCCTAGAGTCGTTTACTCCAGCACTGCGTCTTGCTGCCCCGGGCTGTCATTGGCACGCGCAAAACTGCAACTTAAGCCGCGCACTCGATACGCAGACAGAGCCTCCGCGACTGAGCGATGCTGGACGACTCCATGAGCATGCGGAAGATCCGTTCCTCGCTGTAGCCCGCATTCTCCAGCATCGTGACGCGCTCCAGCGGCCTGAGCCAGCGCACGCGTCTGCGTCGATGTCGTCGAGTGGTTGCAGGCCTATACTCCGCTTGCGTCTTCTCCAGCTGATGCTGCACTGCGTCCACCGACGTGCTCCAGACACATTGTGGA